TCAATGTACAATTTTCAAATAGCAACTTAAATTACGTAAATAAATTCTCTAATTAAATTTTCTAACATATAGGAAGTGAAGGGCCAGAACAAAACAAGAATAAAGATATGCCTTTTCACAGAAAATCTTATTCATACTTGAAATATCCACATACTAACTAGGTGTGGCATTTGAAATCCTGATTTAGAATTAACTAGCATCTACATAATATGTATAGTATATATAGGAGAAATACTTAATCTTTTTTCTTTTCGGCAACTGGTTTAGGTGCATCTTCGATGGCTGCCTTCTCTTCCTGCTGCTGTGACGCAGGCGTAGCAGAATCCAGTCTTTTCTTAGACGCTTCTTCCTCCATTTCGCCGGAGAAACCAAATTCATTAACACGCTTGTAATCAACGCGATATTGCCAGCGTTGATACAAGAATACGAAGAAAATAATATCGTCGCGGAAGCATCCCAACCTATACATTGTAGGCATTTTGATCACAAAAGCAAATATATCATCTATGAATGTGTTTAGGAATTTGTAGGTCATCATACGCCAAGGCAAATGCGCTACGGACTTAAGCTTATAATTGATGAACAACTGTGGCGTCATCATGATGAAGCCAAATGTCAGCAGGTAACCGTAGAGCATATTTAGCACAAATGAGTACCAGCCTTTGTGCTCATTATACACTAACGAATAGATAAAATAACCTATCAGGAGGGGGAAACAGGCCCAACCCAGATATTTGAAGGCTAGATTGTCATATTCTTTTGTATTACTATCCGCGTAAGAACCCTTATCTTGAAAACTTATTTTTGGCAGTATACCCAGTATTTTCTGATCTGTGTTATAGTCGATGTCGACGACTTTGTGAATTTTCCAAATTTCGATACCTAATCCAACAAAGCATGAAACACGTATCATAAAGTTGGTTTCATTATCCAAAACGTATAGAAGCACAATCAATGATTGAAACACGCCGAAAAATACGGAACGCACTGAGAGACCTTCCAGCGATTTACGATTATTCCAAAACTGTATGTCGTTTTTGAAGGCCAGTAGTTCAAATACTGAATGTAATATCGATATAGCAATAGTCATTCCAAGCAAATATATGTTTGTATCAAGCAGTGTTTCTTTCAAAGAATCTTGATCCTCGTCAGACTCCTAAAAATAAAACCCAAACATATAAACATTTAGTCATCGTAATTTAGCACTTTTTTTCTACACTTAACTTACCTCTGGCGCACCAGAAGTCATCAATTCACCCAGCATGTTGCCACCCCATTTGTTTTTCATTTGCTGTGCGGCATACAATTGCCATTTAAACATACTTAAGGGTTGGAAGGTTAAATGCAAATCAATTCTGGCGTTGTTTCATTAATAGGAAAATATTCGCGTTGCAAATTCCAATAGTCATTAATAAATACTATAGGCAAATAAGTTTTTCCTCCATCCACAAACTTACATACTCATCCAATGGAGGCGGTACGCTACCGGCAGCCCAATTAGTTTGATCTACCACCAAATTTATGGTCAAATTTGGATGCCAATGCGACACAATAGTATCTTTAAGATTCGCATGCTCCAATTCAATGGCTAATTTTTCCTTTTCTCCAGCAAGCAGATTATAATTTCGGTTAACACGTATGCGTTTAAATTTATTCAGCATACGTGCTGATGGCCCATCATACCCCGCTTAGCATAATTTTCTGCTTCAGGGTCAGGGCTCTCTCCAGTAGGTGTGACAAATGCATGCAAATAGATACTGCCATTGTTCATCAATGATTTCGATGCTTTTAACTTTAAATTGTGGTATAAATGCCATCGCGTTTTGGTCCCGATGACCAGTCACCATATACAAGATCCTCTTGTAGCCATATTAAATTCGATTGTTGCTTAAAATCTACAACATCAGCATTTTCCGACAGCCAGACGTGCAAATCAAAGAGTGTACCATTTTCAAAGTAATTCCAAGCATTTATCCGTGGAGCCGAACTCGCAGATTTTTGTTGGCTGGCATCGTTAGCATCTGTTTGTGGACGCCGGAAAAACGAGCTTATGAAGTAAATTATAAGCGCACGCAATATTAACGATTTGGTCACGGCAAAGAACGATTCCAATTTTGTGGCTTGCGGTGGTTGTTGACCTTGTTGATCTGGGTTGTTGGGGTCAGCAGCACCATCGGGCGCAGCCGCTACCTATGTATTCAGTTTTTTTTTTTAATGTGATATAATTGAATCTTCATATATTAAGGGGCTTCTTACCTCGCCATTTCCCTGCGCAGCATGCTGTGGCTGTGCGTCACTTGACATCTTTACTACAAATTAACCGTTTGTTGGCGGCACTTGTTTGATATGTGTCAATGGAGATTTTCTTCTATCAAATCAGTGCTAGATAAAAGTCCTTGGATATTTTTTAATATATTTTTCACCACATGACCTCTTAAATTAACTATTTTAGTCAATTTACACGGCTAAGAAAAAATGATGTGGAAAAAATATGACTTTTACGGCTGACCAGTGCAGCCAATTTGGTAGGAGAAACGTTCTTGGTAGAGCTGCCAACACACCCTGCAATAATGCCGCAAGAGTGTTGTTTTATTTTATGGTTATTTTGTTATTCGGTTCCAAATAGAAATGAGTGTTTTTTACATGTTACCAATTTTTTACTGTGAATAAAAAATTACTTGGGCTGCGTTTCTCCTGTTTCATTTAAGTGCAAATTACTTTAATTTTTGAATATTTGGTTTCACCAATCAATTTTAGTTTGTTTTTAATTTTGAGTTTTAAACTATCAATATTATCTCAACCAAAGCTCGTTTTTTAATCATCCTGTTTACACAGGCAAATCTCAGATTATTAGCCGTCAAATTTGTTGTGCTTGTTATTCTCACATCTCAAGGAAAATTTATGTTTCTTTTCTGTGCCACCGTGATCACGTTTTTCTGCCATAATAAGCAATATAAATATATTTTAACTTAACATTTTATTAAAAATACCTTTACAAACCTCTTTTACTTTCTAGCGTACATTTTTGTTTACTTTTACATTTGGCATTTCTCCTCTCTTTCGCAAAAACAATCGATATAACTAGGATGGACACCGAAAAGATATCGGTTAAATCTGAGATTATTTTATAATTACAGATTAACAAGGGAGGAATTTTATATGGCTAATCTCTTGTTATAATTACAGATTAGGGTGTTAAGCTCGAAAATGAGGATAATTTACTTATATGTGAACCTAGTATTAAGTGACCTGACCTTCACTTTAATAAAAATTAAATCAAAATAGTCACACTCAGATATGTTACACGTTTAATCTGCTGATCAATGTACTGGAGTTGGATGAAAATATCACAACTCAAAGAAAGACAGGACAGAATCGAAGGAAAACGAAATCAAATCGATGAGCGTCGAGATAAAATCGAAGCGCTTATTAAGGAGAAACAGGACAAATACGAGGCTAAGGTGGATGAGTTGGATGGTTGTCTTCGTGATTTGCAACTGAATCCTTCAGAAACTTAGACGAAGGCCCCAAAATTAGAGACTCCATCTTTTGGATGCACGATTCCTTTCCAGGTCTTTAAGCTCCACTTCTAGAAAACGGCTTTAGCAAACCATTGGAACATGGAGGATAAATCCGCTGCACTATTTTTTATTTTTTTTTTGAAAGGACCTACAGCAGAAATATTGCAGACTATTCCCGACTGCGATAGAAACAATTACGATGCATTAATGGATGCAGTGGAAAGACGTTATGGTGGAGACAGATCTACCAGATGGAGCTGGAGAATCGCTGCCAAAAATCCAACGAGACTCTACAGGAATTCGCCTCATAGATCGAGAGGTTGGCCCACTTGTCAATTGGGGACGAATCTGGCGAGAACCTCGAAAGTGTACTACTAATAAGCGAGAGACGTATGCGAATCCAAAGCCAATCTTTGTTGAAACAGTTTCGTATGCTCAGACATGTGAAACGGCAGGGCTCCTAAGT